AGTTGGGTGCGGCCGGGTCTCAGAGGATCACCAGAAGGTGAACAGTGTTAATCAGGTTGATGGAAAATCAGATATGGTGCCCATGTGCATCTGCAGGGGGAGGGCTCTGCAAAGAACAATAGTTTCTTCCAGAACTTCTATCTGGGAGAGCTGCTCCACCAGCCCTCGCCTTGATGCCATACAATTCAGTTCCTTCCCACATATCCTTGGCACCTTTCGAGTTGCTGCCTCAGTGCTGGAGCTCAGAGGAAATAAGTCCAAGTAAATCTGTGCATGGGCCCTTTAAGGGGAACACCTGGGACTCAACAGCCACATTCTCCACTGGTTTTCACAGCCAGAACTTATGAGGACTTCTTTTGCTGGCACTGTAACCATGGGCTGAAGGGCCTGGTGTGGGGCTCGGACATCTTTCTCCTCAAGGGGATATCTCTGCAGCCAAGATAGCTTTGCCCATTTTAACCATCACATGTGGGTATGGGATCAGCCTGTTCTATGTCTATGCCCCTCCTACCAGTCTCCATGTGGTTTCTGTATATCCTTAATTATAGTTCAGCTAGATTTCAGGCCATTTGCAATTATGTTATTCTGTAGTTTAGTTATAATTTTGAACTGGTATGGGAGAATGCCTATATCATGTTTACCTACTCCATCATCTTGACCAGAAGCCCCCTGTTATGTATTCATTTTTATTCATATCAAAATATTTTCTAATTTTCCTTATGATTTCTGCCATGACTCATTGGTTTAAGAATGTGTTTAATTACCACATATTTGTAAATTTCCCAGTTTCTTCCTGTATTGATTTCTATAATCAGAGAAAATGCATTTTATGATTTTAATATTTTACTGAAAATTATGTTGTGCCCTAACATTTTATCTATCCTGGAAAATATTCCATATTCACTTAAGAAAAATGTATATTCCACTGTTATCAGGCTGATTGTTCTCTACATGGTTGTTAGGTCTAATTAATTTATACTGTTCAAGTCATCTGTTTTACTTTTTGACCTTTTAACTAGTTGTTCTAACCAGTATTCAAAGTTGAGCATTGGAATATCCCATTACTATTGTTAAATTTTTTTTTCTCTTTTATACTGTCAGTTTTTGCTTCATATATTGTAGGGCTCTGGTTAAGTGCATGTAAGTTTATAGTTGTCATATATTCTGATAAATTGACTTTTTTATCATTATATAATATTTCTTATAATAGTTTTTAGCTTAATATCCATTTCTTCTGATATTATTATAGCCATTCCAGCTCTCATGGTTACTTTTTACTTGGAATTGTCTTTTTATTTGTTTGTTTGATTATTTTTATTAATTTTGGAGAGGAAAGAGAGAGAGAGAGAGAGAGAGAGAGAGAGAGAGAGAGAGAGAGAAACATCAATAATGACAGCATCATTGATTGGCTGCCTTCTGCATGGGAATCAAGCCTGCAACCTGGACATGTGCCCTTGACCAGAATCGAACCCGGGACCCTTCAGTCCATAGGCTGATGCTCTATCCATGGAGCCAAACCTGCTAGCGCTAAAATTGTCTTTTTAAATTATATAAGCAACAAATATATATATATATGGATTTACAAACCAAAATATACACTCTACAATACTGACTTTTATATTTACCTATGCAGAATACCAGTGTTGTTTATTTCTTCATATGAATTCCAAATTACTACCTAATGTCCTTACATTTCAGCCTGAAGGACTTCCTCCTTTTAGCATTATTTGTAGGGCAGGTCTACTAGCATTGAACTCTCTCAGTTTTTGTTTATCTAAGAATGTCTTGAATTAACCTTTATTTTTGAAGTATTTTGCCAGATATACAATTTTTGGCATTTTTAGTTTGTCATTTCACTGCCTACTGATCCCTATGGTTTCTGTTGAGAAATCAGCTGTTACTCTTATTGAGGATCTTTTGTCTGAGTGCTTCTCTTTTGCTGTTTTCAGGATTCTGTCTTTGTCTTTTTCTCTCGGAAGCTTGATTATAATGTGTCTTGGTTTAGAAATCTTTGAGTTTATCCAACTTGGGGTTGTTGAGCTTTTTGTCTTTATCAAGTTTAGAAAATTTGGGTGCCTTATTTCTTCAAATATTATCCCTGCCTCTTTCCTCTCCTCTGGAACTCCCATTACACATATCTTGGTACAGTTATTGGTGTCCCTTAGATTTCTTGAGTTCTGTTTACTTTTCTTCTTTTTTTTTTTTTTCTGCTTCTAAAACTGGGCATTCTAAATTGATTTATCTTCAAGTTCATTAATTCTTTTTCTTCTTATTCAAGTATGCTGCTGAACCCCTTTAGTAGATTTTGACAACTACTGTGCCCCGCCCCCTTTCCCTAGTTAGCTGCCTGAGCTCTGGGAATGTTACAAATCAGGGGAAATAAAGGCAGCCCTTCAAGTGTGTCCTTCAGTGAACCACCAGACATGTTGAAACAAACAACCACGATTTTTTAGAATAAGGTTTGTTCTCCTTCATTTGTAAGAACCTTTACCAGGATTGTGGACTGTGTCTTCAAGGCCATTCATTGAGCTATATATTGGGGGATCAGTAGGATTTTTTTAAATTGATTAAGCATTCTCCTAGTTACTATACTAGTAAACTTTTTATTAGTTTCTAGATTTCTGGTAAAGTTGATTCTGACATTATTGCTAGTTTATTCATCTCTTTAGTGAAAGGATGGACTTTTGGCATTCCTACTCTGCCATTTCCACTGTTATCACTTAGAAAGGATTCCTTCTAAGACACAAAAACTACTAACTATACAAGAAAATATTGATAGATTTAACTAAATTAAAATAAAAAGACATGATAAAGGAAGAAGACAATCTGCATAGTAGGAGTATATATTTACACAATATAAAACTGATAAAAGACTAGTTATTCAGAATAGATACAGAAGTATAACAGTTCAATAAAAGAGAACCCAATAAGAGAAAATAGGGCAAAAGACTTGAACAGGGACTTTACAAAAGAGAATATCTAAATGACTAATAAAGATGAAAAGGTGTTTACCCTCATTAATAAGTAGGGTAAGAAAAAGTAAAACCACCATACTACCTACCAGATTTGACAAAAATTAATAATACTGACAATACTAGGTAGAGGTAAATTGTGGAATAAGAGCAATTGTTACCATTCTTTTGTGATATACATAAATTGGCTTAACCAATTTAGGAATTTGTAAAAGAAGGTATTTATACCCTATAACAGCACTTCTGTTCCCGAGTATATGTATATGTGCTAGAATTAATGCATGTGGGAATTACGATATATTAACAAGAATGTAGCATTGTTCATAATGTCTCCAAAATGAAAATAATACAAATGTTCATCAACAGAGTAATCCATATTCATTGCCTCCTTTTTCTTACATTCATCTTTTTTCTTTATATCCTATAATCAAGTATTTATCTTCATGAAATAATGAAGTAGCTCTCTCTCAGACCACTAATGACTACCCCATCTATTTAGTGTCTGTTTCTTTCCCCTTTATCTCTCTTGGTATATTCTTTGAATATCACCTTGTTCCCATCTTGTGCACAAAACTTGAAAGTAGTCACATTCTCACTTTGAGAATAGAAGAACTATACCATTAGTAGTAGCCCAGAACATGAACTAAATTAGGCATAGCCCCAAATAATAAATTTTATAATCAACATAAATATTAATGATTTTTAAAATAAATAATTCACATTATTTGCCCGTATGTTTGTATATTTTTAGAATGGTGATTCTCAATTACATCAGTCTTTACCATGTTGATAGGAATAATTTAATAATAATAATAATAATAATAATAGCCAACATTTATTGTTTACTACTTGGAAGTGCTAGATAATTTAAATACACTATCTTATTTAATCTTCATCAGTAATCCAGTGAGGTAGATGCTATCATTGTCTTCATGTTTTAGATAAAAGAAATGATGATTAGAAAAATATATTCCTCTGGTATGAATAAAACTAATGTCTTCTCAATTTTTTAAAAAAAGGAAAAATATAGTCATCAGTATCCCTGCAGAAGTCATAGCATACTTAAATGGAGAAGAGTTTAATAAAGGACTATGGTATTTACAAAGGTTTGGGCAGATTTTAGGGCAGTGATGGCGAACCTTTTGAGCTCGTCGTGTCAGCATTTTGAAAAACCCCAATTTAACTCTGGTGCCGTGTCACATATAGAAATTTTTTGATATCTACAACCATAGTAAAACAAAGATTTATATTTTTGATATTTATTTTATATATTTAAATGCCATTTAACAAAGAAAAATCAACCAAAAAAATGAGTTTGCGTGTCACTTCTGACACGCATATCATAGGTTCGCCATCACTGTTTTAGGGGAAGCAACCAGACATAATGCAGTGCCCTGGGACTAGTAATAGTGGATAGTCCTAATGGGACAAAGGAAGGGAGCTGCTATTACAATCCAGAAAAGAGCTATAAGCAAGTGTCATCTGACATGGCTGTGATCCTAGCTAACCTATAATGACCTGGTAGAGAAAAAGCCAGGGGAATAAATACCAGACTTTATGTTCCTCCACTCCTTTAGTTTCCTGACAGTGCCTCCCATTGGCTGACTCCAACTGGAAACCAGAAAGCCCAGGATATTTTGTTGATTCTATCTATACAAGTCAGTTTAAAGTAGAGAGGGTGAAGAAGGATGGAAAATGAATCTGAAAGGGAAATGGAAAATATCTGGGAAATACATAACTATTAAATTACAGAGTCAGTATATGAATGCCAAACACTTTACTCCTGACCACAATGCAATTGTGGTTAAAAGCTCTCATAAAGAAGTTTAATAAAATATTATTTGGCCAGGGGAAATACTTTGAATCTGGAGGTTTCTATTCTACGTCAAATTGTTGGATACTTTTATAACTAACAGTATATGAGAAGAAAAGAATGCCCCCATCCAACAACAAGTTAGGTGTGGGTATTGGTTTTACATGCTGTTAGTATTTTTAGAATATTAAACCATGCATATTCCCCTTGTTCAGATTCCAGACTCCATAATTTCTCGTGGCGTTCAGGTGCTCCCACGAGACACAGCTTCCCTCAGCACTACTCCTTCAGAATCGCCTCGTGCTCAGGCTACATCTCGCCTTTCTACTGCTTCCTGCCCAACACCAAAAGTAAGTACAGTCCCTTGGTACTGTGGCTATGATGTGAATCTGGGAAAACTAACCAATATTTTCTTCTGCTTGTCAAGGTCGGATTCATGCATGATAAATACAATGAAAAATTAATGGACTATAAGATAGTTACCACCTACTGTTTCACAAATTGTCATACTAGGCCAACAGAAGGACAATAAAAATTTCATGCAAAATGTCTACTTCTACATCAGGTATCACTTTCTGTAGCTCCTATTACTTTGCTGTAGACTTGTTATTTTCTTAGCATACTCATCAGTATAGATGTGGAGTTACATGCATATGCAGATCAATGCATTTTTGGCCAAAATAAAATAATATTACCAAAAGGTGTGTTTTTTTTTTTTTAACCTGTCCAGTCTGGGGTAGCTCCCTACTCTAGTATCATTCCAAATTTTTTCAAACATATCCAACTTGGAATGTTGCTGCCTAATATTTGGAAACACATCTAAATTGATTAGAAAGAAAGTTTTAATGCCAACCTTTGGGGGAGGGGAGAAGTATCTTAGTATTTATTTTTTATAATTTTCCCAAGTACTGAATTGTGTATGGGGGAAAATGTATTATTTATTCACTGCCTCACATCTTCAATGTGTATGATAAATTAAATAGCAAACTTAATTATGGCTATGACTGCTTACTCCTGGAATCTCCCTTCCCTGGTTAAGATAATCATTTGTGCTATCACGTTTTCTATGGAATGGATCCAATATTGGCATCAGAAGGTTAAGAGTAAAATTTCTGCTTACTTAATAGGATATGGTGTTAGATATCAGTCTGTACACTGAATTTATTCTAGGGCTCTGCAGGTAATTTCTCAAATTGTGACTTTTTCTCTATATCAAATTTAAGAACTTACATAGCTATCTTTCTCAATTTCTTTCTCAACTTCTCTGAATTTATCAGTGTTGTAATTGGATTTAACTAGAAGTGACCTCAAGCAGTTCTTGATATATAATGCAGTTGCTTTTACATTCCATGGTACAACCTTCTTAGCAAAGTCTTCACAGTGTTAATGTTGTATATCATTGTTTTTAGACTTGTATCAAAAATAACATATTAATTTTATAGTTTTAAAAAACTGAGGTCCTAAATCTTCAGTGAAGAAAAATTGTAAGCACATTCTAGACATGAAATGTATGTTAATGCCATTGGGATGATAATCAACTACATATTCACTGAATGAAAACATTGAGTTCTCTAGACTAAAATTGGATAAATGAATTTCATTCATGTCTTTTAAATTTTTAAATCAAAATAATTTATTGTTTGACTGCATTAAATTCTAATTGTATAAGCTGTATTCATTTATAAAATCTGAGAAATAATTAAAGCTGAAAGTTAAGGTCACTATTAATGTTTAGCCATTCACCACATATTAAGATCCAAATCTTGGTAATAAAGAGCTATCCAAGATACAGCATTTTTCCCCCTTAACAATATATACTGTGAACATAAATATTTTAAGCATAATTTAATTATACATACTAGTTCTTAGTCCTTTTAAAACATTGTAATTACATTTTAATTACAAAGTGGTTATTAAATCCAATTTTAAAATTCACTTGGTATTTCCAAGTTTACTAAGGTGAAATCTTAAAAATAAAAATATTGATATTTATTAAGTTAATGTGCTTATTGCAAAGCTTTAGGAGAGCAAGTGGCTTGTCTTGACATTTTTCTCTTAATTAACACTTACATGCTCAAACTGACAATGAATTCATATAAAGCAGTGTATGTGAATATCTTTTTTCCTAGGAGTTTTTTTCTATACTTTTATCTAGGAATAAGATTCTGTTTCTTTTCAATAATTTTTACCAGCATCATAATGTACATCAAAGATAAAATTATTGCTTTAGTGTAATTTTAAAATTAAATTGTTAAGGCTGAATCAGAATACTAATATAATAAAAAACTAGTTTGAATATTGATTTCTTAAAGGAGTGAAGTCAAATTAATCTTTCTATTAAATATTTTAAATTATTAAGACTTCTTGATTGAATCTAAGTTATATATGCTTTGGAATCAGTGACAGTTTAGTCGATGGTATAATAAAATAAATAGGTAGATAAACATAAATTATTCAAATATAATTTTACAATAACTTCATAATTATAAATTGAAATTCATGCAAGAAGAAATGAAAAAATTGTAGTGATAGAAAATAATAGGAGAGAAACCTTACTTAGAATGATCAGAGAAGACCTCGCCAAGGAATAACATTTCACCTAGGACATGAAGAATACAATGTCTAATCTTATATTCAAACAAAATGCATAATTATTAATTTTTTATACGTTTCCTTTATCCTTTGAACATAAGAATTTAGATTACTCTGGATAAATAATGAATATTTTTTAACTCACAGTTTTCAATCACTAGGTCTGTCTAGAAAACAATGTGATTTCCTTTACATATAAAAATGGCATCATTGATCCAGTATCAGTATAATATTCCCTCTGAGATTTTTTTCTTAGTGAAGTTAGTTTTACAAACTATTCCATATTATTACCACTTTTCTTTGTGAGCACCAGGGTAATTATATGATATGGCTAGTTCATTGGTTGTAAACCTGAGGTTCCCAAGTCTCTGGAAAATCTTTGTTGCTAGGTCATGGTACTAGCTGGGGTCTGCAAATTATTTTGCACTATTTGTAAGAGCATATACAAAATCAATAAGACTATACTAAACATTAAGATTCTTTGCTTTTGTCTTAAATTAAATCAGTATTGGTATAGCAACATCTATTCAGCTGTAAATGACATTATAGAAATATGGGTTCTACAAACGCCAAAAAAGGTTGGAAAACACTGACTTAATGACATCAAAAGTACATTTTCTAAACATAAAAATGTAAGTTATTTTATAAAAAGTTAATTGCCCCATCTGATGGATATTGAGAATAATATTCTCTAGATTATTTGTCAAAGTCAGCAATTATCAGACATAATGGTCTCAGAACCCCTTCACACACTTAAAAATTATTAAGGACACCAAATAGCATTTGTTTATGTGGTTATACCTAGTAATATCTACTGTGCAAGAAATTAAAACTGAGAAATTTTAAATGTTTATTTGCCTCAAAATAAGAATAATAAGCCTTTATATGTCAACATAAATAACATTTTTATGAAAAAAAATAATGTTTTCCAAAGCAAAAATATCTACTGAAAAGGATGGCATTGCTTTACATTTTTTCAAATATATTTCAATGTTTGGTTTAATAGAAGACAGCCAGATTCTCACATCTTCTGTACTCAGTCTGTTGTGATATGTTGTTTTCGTTGAAGAATATGAAGAAACAAATCAGCCTCACACATGTAGTTAGAAAAGGAAGGATGATTTTAATAGTATTTTCAGATAATTATGGGTATTCTTTGAAATTACACCAAAAATTTACAATTTTCTTTTAAAAGTTAGTTAAAGGATGGAATCAAAAATTTTGTCAGGACCATTGAGTACTTTGATATATTATAATCCATTGCCCTGGCTTGAACTTTGAATGAACGTAGGTATGATTTTGTAACACATTTCTTGGTAACTTGAAAAATATATGTTCTTCTAAGTGTTGACATATTTCATTATTTATATTAAAAAACCATTTTCATTAATATAACCACCAAGCTCATAAAAAAGGATTTTGAAGTATTAGAAGCTCTCAAACTCATAGTATTATATGTTTTCCACAGTTCTGATTTGTGTTTAAAAGTTATCTTTGACAAAACAACAATTCCTGTGTTTTTCTGGAATTGACAGGCCCATTTCATTCATTTCGAGAAAATGTCTGCCGAATATCTAAGTCTGAATAATCACAGTTTGTCAGTATTCTTTCATTCCTTCAAGTAACAATGGTATTCTGTTCAAAACCTGACTAGTTCAGCATGCAACTTAACAACTGCATAAGTGCTTTTCCTTGAGACAATCATCATCCTTTGATATGGAACAGCAGTATTGTATTCATACTACTCATTTTGCCAGACTCAAGGGACAAGTTTAAAGTAAGTTAAATTAGTATTTACTGTTGCATTGAGAACAATGTTAAATGAAACTAGCTTTTCTTTTTTGAAACTATTAAATTTTTTTAACTCTTAGCGCATGATAGTGAATAATACAAGGACTATTCATACTATTTGGATCCACCACCTCAATCTGCACTCAGGTGCCAACCCACCATTGCTTTTGTATCATTATTGAAAATGTCAACATAGTGAAAGAGGCAAATGTCATAGTACTATTATTGAAATAATTCAGCCTTTGGACTCCTGATAGGGCCTCGGGGACCCTCATGGGACTGTGGACTTAAAGAATCACCAGTATAATTAAATGAGCAAACTGGTTTGTTTCTTGAACATATATGGGTCAAAATTATGTCTTTTGAATCTTATTTTTTCAGTGAGACAATGTTACAGTGCTATCCTCAGAATAGAGATCTTATTCAGGGGTGAGAACCTTTTTTTGGCCAAGGGCCATTTGGGTATTTATAACATCATTCACGGGCCATACAAAATTATCACTTTAAAAATTAGCCTGCTATATTTGGTCAAACATTTAATTAATTCACCCCTAAAGCCTTGCCAGGGCCAGACCAAATGATTTCATAGGCCTTATACAGTCCACAGGCCAGACATTCCCCACCCCTGGTATGTAAATAACCCTACTTATTTATACCCTATACTTATACCCTACAGTATAGTACCCTACTTAAGCATTATAAATGGTTCACCCTCACTCTGTAATCCCAATTAATTCCAGAGCAGGGAATAGAATATCTCCTCCCTAAGTCAAAATGAGAAAAGGCTTCACAAAGTCTTTTGCGGATACAAGACCAGGAATTGTAATTTCTGGCTAACTCGACTTATTTCCAAAGAGATACTATTTCTGTACTTGGATGGCATCTAATGTTTCCCCAGGATATCTTATCTACTAATAGATACAGAGAGGCCTCTTTTAAGTAATAGCCTTGTTTTGGAAAGATAATT